TGTTTGACACTTGTTTATGATGTAGCATAAAGTCAAGATCTCCTGCAAAGAAATGGCGGCTTATATTTGATTTTTCTTTGTTTGTTTGTGTGTATGTTTGTTTATGTGTTCGTTCGTTTGTTTGTTTGTTTGTTAGTTGGTTGGTTTTCTTGTTTGTTTGAGTAAAGTAATGCACATCAACGCAACAAAAGTCGTTTACTGCTTGGGAAAAGTAAAAAAGAAAGCTAGAAACAAGAGAAGGGAACAAAAGAAATAGGACTTCCAAGCGTCACCCTTCAACGAACCAGTCATTATACAGAGGCAGCAGAAAAAGAAAATGACCTAGTGCCATCCAACTACTTACACAAACATAGACAATAAAGGAAAAGATAAGAAGTGTAACATACAAGTCCCCCCCTCCCCCCCCCCGGTAAAACTCCACCAAACCAAAGAGGCAGAAAGGATAGAGGGAAAGAATAAGTATTTCCGATCCAGCGGCCATTTGGGTTCTAGCCCTTCGGTCTGTCGATATGGCAAAGAATTTACAGGTTTTCATCAGCTGTGCTTTGTCACTGTATAGAGAATTTCCGATGTCTGGGGAGGCAGGTAGGTAGGTGCTACGCAGGTCGCAAAGTGCAGGGCAGTTAAAGAGGTGGTGTGGCACTGTTTCATCCTTGCAGTCACACAACGGGCAGTCGGGAGGGGTATCCTTGTCAATCCTTTTAAGGTAGGAATTTAGTGGAATGTGTTGTGTTCGCAGGCGAAAGATCGTGACTTGTTCTCTTCTACTCAGGGAATTTAGTGCATCTTTTGAGTTGGGGCTGTCATATGCGCAAATACAGTTCTTCCAGTTTTGCCCATTGCCCATCCATTCAGCCACGGTTCCCTGGTGTTGCATTTGATGATGTTCTTGGCTGTATGTTGTGATACTGGGTTGTGAGGCTGTGTTTGTGTTGCTCCCTTCTTGGCAAGGGTGTCTGCTCTGTCGTTTCCTGGGATGTTGCTGTGGCCAGGTATCCACTGTAGAGTCAGGTCGACGGCATAGGTCTGTATGAAGGTGTTGATTGTTTGAGCCATGGATAGGCAGACTGGGCTTTCGAAATTCATGTTTTCCAAAGCTTGGAGTACCAACTTTCCGTCTGTGAAGACACCAACACAAATAAAAACAGGGAATCAGTAGCACCTTCCATCCACCCACCTACAAAAACTGACACAAAAGACGGGGAAAAAAAGAAGAAACCCCGCCAGTAGAACAGCATAAAAACAACAGGAAATGAAAAAAAATAAAAACTACCAGCGGTGACCTCTAACTTCACTATCCATCCATACAATCAGAAACAACAGAAGGAGAAAAAAAGAAGCAGGACCTTCCAATGATGCCCTCTCAACAACCTGTCAAACGTCTGTAGAAAAAAAAGCAGTACCAAGACCTGGAATGCTTTACCAAGTACTTTAAGAGAGATCAAATCTTTTGATTCATTCAAATGTCAGCTGAAGTCGTTTCTGTTTTTAATTTAATAAGATGAATATTTGGAGTGATTTTCTTTTAGTCAGAAAAAAAGTTTTATGCTACAGTTGTACGTTGCACTGTCAGAACCTGTGTACTTCAATCGAGGTTGAGCGCTATATAAATGTCATTTATTATTACCATATTATTATTATTACTACTACTGATTGCCTTGATTTCAACATAAAGCCGACAGCTCGATTCTTCCATTGACAGATTACTCTTTCAACGTAGGTGTTTTTACGACCACATCGACACAATGTACATAATTTAGGAGTCGGGTTTCCTACCCTGCCTATCAGGGCTAATCCGGGTCGAGAAGAATACAGCAGAATGACTGAGACAGTCGAGAAAACGTTCCTTACTGGGGAATCAAACTAGGATCTCCGAACTGCGACAGCGAAGTGCTTGATCACTTCACTACGGACGCGAATGACAATACACTGTTCTGTCCGGTTTGTTTTTGTTTGTTCTGTTTTTGTTTTTTTGACGTTATTTTCCCAACATTGTGAGAAACAAACTCGTGTCTTCTGCGTACAACGTCGAGGGGCATAACCACTACACTAGAGAGTAACAAAGATGTAAAATAATAAGCTGTGAGAAGAAGAACAAAAAATACGTTGACACATTTATTGCGGTAGTCAAACCAGCGCCTATGTCTTTGTATATGTTCAACAAAACATTTTACTAGATCGTCATGACAAAACCTGTGAGCTAGCTACAAGTAATGCCAACTTTGGGAAAGGCCAACTTAGTGTTTTGTTTACTTCTACTATAATGATAACATTAGAAGGCATAATTTTCTCTGCGATTTATAAATCTTAATGTCCTTAACGAAATATTGTAGGATAAAAAGAACCAAAACCAAAAAAAAAGGAAAAGCAAAAACTTACATAGCTGGATGACTGTAAAGGAAAACAATTTTTCAAAATGACAACCCAAAAAGATGAAAAATTACTCGAGGACTTAATGATGCTGAACTGTGGAAAATTCAAAATCTGCAGCATTTTAAAAAAAATTAACATTAAAAAAAAAACAACCCAAAAGAAACAACAACCAACTGAACAAAAAACACCCTCAAAAGTATGTAGATATCTTTACAACAAAAAGACACAAACAAAAACATGATAATTCAGCAGGAAAAAAAAACTGTTACAATAAATTACATATGTTTCTGGTGTTGCAAGAGTTTGTACTTTGTTTCGTTCTGTCTTTATTTATTTTCCCGCGCAATCAGTCAAGGCAGGGATACTGTCAGTTACGTCCCTTGCAGGACGATCAGCCCAGGGTGTCTGGCAGTCCCAGTTCCACTCTGAAGGCGTCCTGCATGGTCAGCACCATGCTGTGTCCATCAAAGCAGGTGTCCTGGTTGTCACATGACTGCATGAGCAGCTGCTGGGTGGCTGAGTCGTAGGAGTAGGTGATGGTGTGGAAGTGGTTGTTCACGTTGTCTGTCTCTCTGTGCAACACGTCACCGGCTTGAAGACCTTCCCCTGAGGAGAGAGAGAGAGAGAGAGAGAGTGGGGGAGGAGGGAGGTTAGTAGGGGAGTGAGTGAGTGAGTGAGTGAGTGAGTGAGTGAGTGAGTGAGTGAGTGAAGTGAGTGAGTGAGTGAGTAAATGAGTGAGTAAGTGTGTGTGTGTGTGTGTGTGTGTGAGAGAGAGAGAGAGAGAGAGAGAGAGAGAAGGAGAGAGAGAGAAGGGGTGGGGGAGGGGGGAGGTTAGTAGGGGAGTGAGTGTGAGGGTGTGTGTATGTGAAAGAGAGTGAGAGAGAGAATGAGAGAGAGAGAAAGAGGGGGGGGGGAGAGGTTAGGAAGTTAGTGGGGGCGTGAGCCAGTGAGTATGTGTGGGAGAGAGAAAGGGAGGAGATTAATGAGTGAGTTAGTGGGTGAGTGAGTGAGTGAATGTGAGAGAGAGAGAGAGACAGAGACAGAGAGAAGGAAATTAGTGGGTGAGTGAGCTAGTGAGAGGGGGGGGGGAGAGGGGGAGACTGCCTTAATACCTATCTATCTATCTATCTATCTATCTATCTATCTATCGATCTATCTATCCATCCATCTATCTATCTGTCTATCTATCTATCTATCTATCTATCTATCTATCTATCTATCTATCTATCTATCTATCTATCTATCTATCTATCCATCCATCCATCCATATATCTATCTATTCTATCTATTCTATCTATTCTATCTATCTATCTATCTATCTGTCTATCTATCTATCTGTCTGTCTATCTATCTATCTGTCTGTCTATCTATCTATCTGTCTATCTATCTATCTATCTATCTATCATGTATCGATCTCTCCGTATACTCACACTCGGCAGAGGTGATCACAATGGCGTGTTTGTGCACGCCCACAGGCTGAGCGTTGGACAGTGACGTGTACAAGATGGCGGTCCACTGGTCGTTCCCTTCGTCACCGCCTGGAGTTTGGGGGGGGGGGGGGAGGTGGTGGTGGAGGGAGAGGCGTTAATTATAAGTATATGTGAGGCATCGTGGTGGAATCAGGCGCTCGTCGTCAAAATAATGATACTGAAGAAAACAGCATTTTTCCGCCGTTTTGGAAATTATTTTCGAATTGTTGTTTTTTTGGCTCAATACCTTTTAAGTCCATGTACATATATATTTTTGTGTAGATTTTACTGGGGAAAAAACGTCGATCAAAGGACTCTCAAGCTATGGAAGTTACCAAACTTTGGCGGCCATTTTCTCGATAATTTTACATCTGAATCAAGGTGACCCTTTCTTCTTCAATCACACTTCTATTCAACATGGATATTTTTTTTCACCAAAGGAGGGCAAATGAACAGGCTTTAAGATGATACCAATAACCCAATGTGTCCTAAAATTTATGAGCGACTGATTCCCCCACGTCGTGACAAAGACATTTTTTCTCAGGGGGAGGGGGGAGGGTTTTTTTTTTAGCTTTAGTAAGAGTTTTACGGCACTTGCAATACAATAAAGTCAAATAAGTGTCGAAGATTAGAGGTGTTACAATAGAGTAACAAACATTTAAAAAGAAGGAGAAGAGATAAAGACGATTGTTGTTTGATAGGAAAGAAGGGGCGAACCTCACCAGAGCACCCTCCAACCACCCACTGGAGAGGGGGTGGGCTAGAGAGGAGACAGTAATGAGGGGTGGGTAGTGGGTATGGAGAATGGGAGAAAAAAATGTGGGGGCGGGGAGGAGGCCAGAGAGAAATTTGAGATGAGAAAAGTATAAGACGAAGAAAATGATTTGGGGGGGGGGTTAGTAGATAAAAAATAGTGATGAGTAGTATGGGAAGACAGGCAGACAAACAGACAAACAAACAGACACATAGACAGGCATACCAATTCCAGGATCCACTTCAAACAAGCCTCTATTAGCCTGTATGTCCATCACCATAGTCCTCAGTGCCTGCAATTCTTTCCTAATTACCCTTGTTGAAGACAGACAGACAGACAGACAGACAGACAGACAGACAGACAGACAGACAGACAGACAGACAGACAGACAGACAGACAGACAA